AATTCATTCTGATGTCTTCAATCATATCTTGCTCAATTTGAATCTGCTCGTGTGTGTGTCTCTCTTGATGCTCTATGATCTTCGAGTGGAGTGATTCAGTAATTCATAAATGATTGTGCTTGATCAATCTCATTTGATGCTCTATGATCTTCGAGTGAAGTGGTTCAGTGATTTGATCAATCTCATAGTTTGAATCTCGATGCATCATTTGAATCGAGAGAATCTTTGCATATGCATATTATCTTCTTTTTTCTTCAATTTTCCTTTTTTCTCTTTTTATTTTCTCTTTTCTTTTTTTTTCTTTTTTTTCTCTTTTTGTTCTGATTGAATCTTCGCACTTGGCATTTGGTTCACCTTTGGGTATCTCATCTGAATCAATGTCTTCACTCATGCGAGCAGATTTTCTCCACCTTGCCCCCAGTGTGGAGGGTGATCCTTGGTTAGGGTTTAATCATAAGAAAAAAACTATTGGCTTAAAAGGGGACACAAGGGATATATATTTTCTCCTGTTGTGAAGGGGTAAAGAAATAAAGTCGTTCATCATTTCATACATAGAAGCTTTCACAGAAGAGGTATCCCCAGGGGGATAGATTTTTAGGATTAATTTTATTCACATGAAAATAGTGTAATTAATGCATGGTAGAATTATTTCGAGTGAATTCTTCTTTCTGCTTCTTTCCCCCAACATGTCTCAATGTTCAGGCTCCCTGCGAGATGCCCCAAGTTGTGTCTTAGAATAATGCTCATGTTCAAATGAACAACTCAATGCCTTGGGTTTTAATGGTATAAAAATGTCAATTTTGAGTCTAAAAAGACAATGATGTGACTTTATTGACTCAAAGAAAAGTATGGGCGTATCAAAAAGATAAAGGCATTGTTAAAAAATTTCAAAGGGAGGTAATGTCAAAATTTTGTCTTTTTGGTAATGACCATGAGTTATTTTGGGTAAAGAATCAAGGTATTTTATTTTGGGGTTTGAGATAGGATAAGAAAGGTCTAACCTTGTCATTTGTCAAAAATCCATAATTCTTAAAGAATTAAAAGAATCCTTAATTCATTTAATATTCAAAAAACTAAAGATTAAGATTTGTTCAATTGCTCTACCTTAGAAAGTAACATAAATTCAATCGTTTAAAAGATTAAGCGAACATGAAAGATCAAAGACGTGTTCAAACAAAAAAATCCTCTAAGTGCAAATGATATATACAATGCCCCTTCTTCGGCTGTCCGTGCCACTGAACCCATCAGGTTTTGGATCTCGCGCTTCAACGCCTTATAGTTCTCAAAGAAATGTTTGGAGCATCCTATGTTGCAACTGCAAACAGCTTCAACATCGTATCCCTTAGGATATGTGGACTATTTTCTCAGATCATCTTGGCAGGCTTAGTCGTACAACCAGCTGATCGAGCTCATTCGTTATGATTTCAGTTTTTTCTTTTGATGTTACAATCTTTCTTCCATGTGGTGTCATGTGGTTAAAACCACTTCATCGAATTCTCCATGAAGAAATTTCATGTTTATGAAAATGCTTAAAAATGAAATGTAGATGCAAAATGCAAAATGCAAAAATGCATGAAATGTTCGAGGCATTGATCCAAAAACATGTCTGTTATTGTAAATAACCTTTATTGGGACAAAAGTGTTTTATCTTTTAAGAGACAATAAACATATTTAAAGGTACATCCGGACTAAATCCTCTAGACCCGAACAGGTTGACTAGTCATTTGCCTTCGTCTTTCACCGGTTGAATAACCTGTTGAACCACTCTGGCCTCTCTGGATGAACCGTGAAAATGTTGAGTTGTTTTTTGTACTGGTTCCCAAAAAGTATCGAATGACTACATCTTTGGCTTTCATCCTTTGCTGAATCGGAAATTCCATTGAAATCCTCCATCAAAGGGATTATCCGAAGTTCATTTGCTTGTTTCTTGAATTTGTCGAAAGTGACTTGTCATCTTGTTCTTGTTGTCTTTGAATGGACTCTCGAGGTCAGTAACCTTTTTCTCGTCTTGCCCCTGCCACCTTTGTCAACCCATTTTTGAAAAGTTAACTTTTGATGTACTTGATTATGGGCACCATGTCTTCTTGATTGAATGTGACACATAGTTGTCTTGCAAATTGTCCTCATTTTCTTTCTGAGTCTTTTCTGACCATAGCTAGACCCCTGCGTTTTTCATCTCTTGTATTACAACCCCTTTGTCCATTAATGCAAATTATTTATGGTTAACGAACACGTTTTTTTTGTGTGGATCAACACCTCTTTTGAATGATGCAGATGATGGAAATAAAATAAAAGAGAGAAAAATTGAAAAGAGTTAGTAAGGTAAAGATAATAATAATGAAAATAAAAGGTCCTACCTCACATGATATCTACCCCACATGCTTTAATTCCTACCCGGACATGATCTCTATCCCGCATGCTAATTCCACACAAATCCTAACCGCATATTTGTCTAGTTCGCATGCTTTGAACAGAAAGTAAAGCATGAAACAAAGTAGTCTAGGGTTTGGAATGAGGTTTTGGGGTGGGCTCTAATTCTCCATAGCCTCTCGGTTTAGGTTCTAAAAAACGGGACTCGAGTTCTCCTTGCTGGTACCCCCTTGGGCTTACCAGACCCTTAGTCCTAAGCCCATTACAAGCTTATGTGGACTAAGTTAAACTCGAGAGGAAACATTCCCTTATGCCCGCACGGTGAATAAATTCACACGAAGACATAAGGTATATGAATCCCGAAGGCTACTTGCTAGGCCCGCACAGTGAATAAATTCACACGAAGGCGTCGCTTTCACCCCCACTTAAAAGGGTTCAGAGCTCGGGTATAAAGCTAGAGATGGAAACTTTTTCAAAAATCTAAAATCATTGAAAAACCTTCAGTACAACTATTTACTTGAAAAAAATAATCAATGATAAATAATTGGAATCGAATAAATAAATTAAATTTTAAACTTGTAATTTTCGCTAAAAAAAGACAACCGAAAATTAATTTCGGCCTGACTCACTTACCTGTCCCCAGTCGAGTCGTCAAGCTGTCATAACCGTCTTTCGGTTGGGCCCCGAAATTGGGCTTCGACTTGAAAATGTGGATTGGAGTCACCACCGACCATTTTAAAACGAATTTAGGTGGGTCGGACACTATCTTACTTAATCTGCGTTTTTACCAGAAATGTGTCGGGTTCGGGAGTCGGTTACGTTCAAGGAAGGATTAGCACCCTTGAACCGCCCTTTCGGTACCAATTAATTTGTCGGTTGTCTTAGTTGCGAAAATTCGAAATTAAAATTAAAATTTAACATACCCGATTCAAATTACTTACAATTGATTGATTTGAATACCCTTAAAAGATAAAAATGTTAGATTCGTAGCGGAGTATAAAATCGAATTAGGATAGCAAGTGTGCAAACGTGAGAATAATAAATAAAACAAGAAAAATGGAAAATAACAAAACACGTAAAAAAATAAAAAAAATAATAAAAATAAACAAAATGAATAAAATGTCAAAAAAAGACACAGATAAAGGAAAAAATTTAATGGAGTAAAAAAAGGTAAAAGAAATTAAAAAATGAATAAAAATAATGTGTACTATAAAGTAATATTTACTAAAATAAATAAAAATAATAAATATATAATACTAAGTAAAACAAGTAAAAAATAAAGATATACATGATATTAAGAAAAAAATAGAAAAAAATAAAATAAAGTAAAATTATAATATATATAAATAAATAAAAACAAAAATAGAATATTAAGAAAAAATATATATAAAAACGTATAAAATATAATATTAAGAAATATATATATATACATAGCAAATGGAGAAAAATTAATACATCTATACATATATATATATATATATATATATATATATAATGATATAAGATATATATAATAAAAATAATATAATATAAATAAATTAAAAAAGAGGAATATAGTAAATAAATAAAAAAAATATAATTAAAAATATATATATATGAGATGAAATTAATATAAAGTAAAATTAAAGGGTAAATTTCAAGGTAAATTAAAGATTAAGATTGACTTAGGGGGAATATTAAATATTTTTTTTAAAAATGAACATGCCTCAAGAGTAGATCTAGATTTGAAACTTCGAAACCTACCCCTTTTTGGTCATCGGCGCAACCCACGCTTTGGGTTATTCGAACTAAATCTCAAGAAAAATAATATGCATATGTGAGAAATGAACGATTCAATGTAAAAAAAATGTTACCTTTTATTTCCTTTTCGAATCGTTTACAATAGCTTTGTCTTTGTATTTTTTCGTGCTTTCTTCTGTGTCTTGTATGTAAATCTGTGTCTTACAAATGGGGAGGATTACATGTATTTAAAGTGAAAAAAACTAACTATTTTTAGAATCATATTAACAATAGAATCCTAATGCAACTAGACTCCTTGCTCGGTTATTGCACGTTTGTTGGTGTGGTTGATGCTTTAAAAGATATGGTGGTGGAATAGTCCTCTTAGAAGATGAACTCTTACTAGTTCTATTTTTTAAGAAAATATGTGTCTACAGTGTGACACCATATACTTAGGTAAATAAAATTAATTCAAAATATCAATAGAGAAAAATAAAAATGAATTAAGAATAAAAAAATATAAAATTAACATATCATACTATATTAGTATTGTTAAAATCATAACTAAAATTAAATTTTTACAATTAATTAATCGTAAAATAATCTTTGAATTTCTTAATATGTACTTAATAAAAATAATTTAATTTGTGAATTTTACGGTAGAATTTTCAATAATTGACCAAATGAAAGAACAGATAAAAAAAGTTGTAGTTGAAACACGTGTGCTTCATGAACCCTATGTGGGAGAGGTATACAGTTGCAAATCATGACAAGTGTCAGTTCAGCTCCGTGCCCTGTTACGTGGCTCCCGAACCTCGTCTTGTTTCTTATATAAATCCCCATCACATTGCTTGCTTCTACTCCACTAACCAACTCTCGAGTTGACAAAGAGATTCCTTATCAACGAAATCATGGCTTTTAGATCAACCGTGAGTCTTCCTTCCTTTATGTTTATTATTTTTATACTTTGGGGTTTAGGTTTTTAGATTGATTTGTGATGATGATCATTGATCCCAGGGTTGTTTGAAGCAGCTTATAACCAATCATTTGCGGGGAAAAGCGACGTATGCGACCTCAACGCCACCCAGACTGAAATCCTACGCACCGACAGCTGATCATTTCGGGCACTCTCCGCCAAAGAAAAAGGGGGATTATGTGGCCATCTATGTTGCTGTTGGCATGATAGCGTTGGCAACCACACTGGGGGTTCACACGGTGGTGCAACAGGTGCAGAACTCGCCGCAAGTGCGAGTTAACAAGGAAAGGAGGGAGAGTTTACCCGAGATGGAGGAGCCGGAACGAGTGGTGGATGAGGCTCACAAGTTCCTGAAGCAGTCCTTTAGGAAAGTTGCGCATGTTCAGAAGAGCGACGATGACTATGCCATTGAGGATCCCACACGGGCTGATATGTTCGCCGTAACACCAAAGTGATGTTTATTTTTACAGAACTAAAAGGTCTACATCTCTAAGCATCTGCAGTAGAAGAGATAGATCAAAAGTCTGTAGTCTGTAAGAAGAAGACTGTTTGTTTTTTAACGTCTGTAGACTGCTAAAATAAACTAAAATATAAATAAACTGATTTTTTAAACTTAAAAGAGTTTTGCAATACTGAGATTTAAATAATTTTAGTTTTACAATACTTAAATTTAAATAATTCATACAACTACAATAATAAATTTTTTAGAAAAACAAACACCACCTTATTAATTTTATTATTAGTTTTATAAGTTTTATAGAATAAAATTTATAAATGATCATTAAATTATATGATTTTTTAAATATGCAATTATGTAATACTTTTAATTTTTTAAATATATATTCATAATTTATTTTTATAATTATATGATATTTTTAGAAAATATTTTTTAATTCATCAAATTATTTTATGATTATTTTTTATTTAATTGTGATTATATTTTAAAATTTTAAAAATATAATTTATAATTTTTTATACTTTAAAATCTTAATTATTAAACAATGAAATCATTTTTTTATTAAGTAATGTGGTTTAAATACTTACCTTTTGTATAAAAAGGTTAAATATAATTTAAAAATAACAAATCCAAAAAATATTATATTTAAACTTAAATTAAAATAATTAAAATAAATATGAAATTTTAATAATATATAAAAATTATTTATATGATATAAAATTAAATATCTATAATATAATATTAAAAAATTAATATTTAATTTATTTAAAAATTAATATTAAAATTAATATCTATAATATAATATTAAAAAAGTAATATTTAATTTATTTAAAAAATTAATATTAAAATAAAAATAAAAATAATAATATAAAATTAAATATAAAATCTTTTGAAGAGGTTAGAAGATGTCTGCAGACATAACATCACGTCTGCGCGTGATCTACGTGGCGCAGATATAAGAGCTTTGCAGACCTTACACAGTAAAATTAAACACCACCAAAGTCTTGGGTTGAAACTCTTAAATCAGTCGGTGTTGATCCCATGTTTCGTGGTTAATTTATGTTACGAGGTTCCTTTTTCTACCACAAAAATGGGGAATTTTCTGGACTTATCCCTCATGCAAGCTAAAATATGTAATGGATGGTGTGCTAGTCCTGTTTGCTGCTTCACTTAGCTTAGATTCTGGCGGAGCCAGAATTTAGTTATAACCTAGGCCGGATCTTTTTAACGGTAATTTTATCTTTATTATTTATTTATTTATTTTAAATATAAATAATAATATTAAATATACTTTTTCATTTTAAAAAAATAACATTTAAAATATTAAAAATAAAGTTAAAAAAGGAATGAAACAATATACGAATTTAAAAGGTGTTTAAGATATAACTATCACATAATTATGATACGCATGGCCGGGCTAGGAAGTTGGAAGCCTTGTGTAAATTCTTAAAAATTGGCATTTTTTTTGTAAAGTGAGTTAGACAAAAAAAAATGAGATAAGCTTTACAATTATAACATAGTACTAATTATTGGTATTTTCCATATCTTCCTTCGAGCAAAGCTTTTTGAGTTCCTTTTTTATAGTTTAATCATCTACGATAATACCAATAACCTCATTGTGAACTTTTTGTTGTCTTTACTATTTGGGGCCCTATTCCCGCCTCTTATGGTACGTTATTCAAATCTCAAAAATACATCCAAATCTCAAATACATATATGTGTTGTACAAAAGCTCCTTGCAATATATCTTTCATTTTTTTATTAAGTATATTTTATCATTTTTATAAAATAATTAAAAATATAAAATTAAAAAAATAATGAAAGGATATATATATAAATTTAAAAATGTGTTAAAGATATAACTATCACATAATCATAATATCATAATATGTCGTTATTCCAAATTTGAATATGCATCTATGTCTTTTATATATCTCTTTTGATGTTAATAAGCATGTAACTCTAAAAAAATTATCTTCTATTTTGTTATAGAGTGTTGTCTTATTAGTATTCATTTAGAAAAATGTATTTTTAGCACTTGCCCTAATTATTTTGATGTTGATAAGCATGTAGTTCTCAAAAAATTTATCTTCCATTTTGTTATGGAGCTTTGCTTATTAGTATTCATATATAAAAAGTATTTTTAGCACTTGCCCCAAAAACTGGAGGAGCCGTAGAAGTTTTATCAGTTGAAATATATAAAGATAAGTGTTTGTTTTTCTAGTATTCACCAATCATTAATTTAGATAAGAGATTGTCAATATTTTTTTTAGGTTTGAATTTTAAGAGATCAGAGATTGTCAACAATTTTTTTAGACCACATCATAATAATATAACAATTTAATTCTATTCTTAAGCCATACTTTTCAACTTTTTTGTAATCTTTAGGATAAAATTTACCTACAAGATTATAAATGTCTTCAAAATTGAAAATTTTGTTATCGTTTTTTGGCTCCAAAACACAATCAAGAGTTAATAACTTTACCAATTTTCATTAAATATACTATTTAATTCTCATAGCTGAACATTCTACAACATAACAAATTATACTCGATAATGATATTTAATTGTAAAATGATTTGTTGGTGACGAGCACAACCTCATTTTTTTATAAATAGAACTCATATTTAGGATACTTATATTGTGACTTTAAAAAATTAGGTAACCTTTATAAAAGGAGAATTTCATCCATCATTTCTAAATTTTTACAAAATTATCTTTGAACTCGCAACAAGATGCAATGAATTCAAAATATCCTAAAATTTCTGTTGTAAAGATTGAGAAAGTAAATAAGTTATTTTTAATATTTTCTTCATAAGATGTAAAATGAAGACAAAATCAAAAGACGTTAAAGTCTCCAAAATTATTGTCGCTTCTCCACGTTCAAAAGATGTACTTCTTTTGTCAATAAGTTTATATAGAACAACATAAGTGACACTGAACATTTTTATCAAACTTTAAATTGACCTCGAATAAAAATTCCATCGAGTATCACCTACCCTCTACAAATTACTTGCTTGATTCAAACCAGTTTCAGTTTCAAGTTGTCCTTCTTTAATCAAATGATTTATCTCATCAGAATAAATATTTTTAGTTAATCGATATGCTTATATGAGGCAAGAACAACATTGACAACTAAAGATAACTTGGACAAAAATGTTAGAACCCATATCATAATAAATATGAAAACAACTAGGATCTAATCAGGAAATCATCAAGAATAAAAAACTAGATTAGCATAAACATACCTAAATTAATTGATATGTTGAAATCCTTGAATCTTTCTTTCGTTGTGATCTTCCCAGAAGATAGAGTTCCCTTAAGTATAAAATGTCTAACGAGGATAAGAGTAAATATGAGATTAACCTATTTATTGGGGACCACTACCTCTTTATATAAATTGAATATTAGGTCAATCTTTTAAGTATTTATAATTCTGCCCCTCATCAAATTATAAATACAACTTATGGTATTTGCACTTTGATTCCAATGCACTTTAATACATATAACACATGTAACATAATTGGTTACTTAATTTTGTGTCACACTTTACGATAACATTGTACATTATACATATGTGCCCATAAATATGAATTTTATTCGAACAATCTCCCACTAGGACAATATATGTTTCTTGACGGATGTACAACCTTAAGAGCTCAAAATTTGCTATCATACAATAAATATTCTATAACAATCTTGTCCATCAATTATATCCATATAGGATCAAAGTGGTCTTTGTCGTATCAATCATGACTAGACCCATCAATGGTCACGTATACAAACACAGTTAAATGAGATAGATAAACCATGGAGTGTAGCATGAAAATTGCATGCAATGTGAACTACACATGTCTATTTCCAACTGATCCTCTTTAAACATTAGTGAGGTCAAATTTTACCAAAATCAGAGTGTGGATAAACCAAGACAAACTTTATTTCTGCAGAAAATAACCTTAAAATAAATATCCTTAAACTGATGTAACTAAAATTGTGTTTAAAACAAGCGAGCATTTTTAAAGTTACAAACTCCCACTAAAACCGAATCTTCTTAAGTGATATTACATCCACATGAGTAGTGTGCTCAAGAAAGACTTTGGGTGACAATTCCTTAATAAGCGCGCAATTATGAGTTTGTACCAATATATTCCATAAACACATAACCACTGAATTTTCTTTAACAACCAAAAATATAATATCTGTGTGCTTAGATTTAAGATGTCTATGTTATATATGGAATAAAGGACTGCAACTTAGTTGTCACAAATTAACTCAAGTGGTATTTCTTATCAATCCATAATTAGCATTTCACATGACAAAATTTTACATACATATTTCAATAAATCGCAGTCCATAAACCTAATGATCTCTTACTTACTAGACCTCCGATATGTAAGAATATAACATTTTGTTCTTAAATGTATTATATGAATCAATTTGGCTGCTATCCAACGATCCATACCCAAATTTCTTAAATATCTGCTTAATTTCCTAAAATCATACGCTATGTCTGAATGCGTATAAATCTAAGTATACATTAAACTCCTCATTTTTTTGAAGCATAAGAAACTTTTAATATTACTTTAGTTCCAAAATCATTCTTAGAGCATTGATCAAGACTAAACTTGTTTCCTTTAGCAATAAGGAGTATTATTTAGTTTACTCTCACTGAACTTATAATATATACAATTATCAACCAAATTTATTTCGAAACAAACGAGATAACCACCTAGTGAAATTTATCATACAATTAACGGGAGTAATACTTGAACTTATAAATGGATTTCCTTAATTTGCATATCATTAGTTTTGTATCATTTGACACAAATTCTAACTGCACTATATAAATATTTCATCAATGTTATCATTGAGAAACACAATTTTGAAATCCAACTTATGCAACTCAAAACCAAATATGAGCAACAAGTATCATAATTATCTTGAAAGAGTCTTTCAATGAAACCAAAGAGAAAGTTTCTACGAAACTAATGTCTTCTT